TTTATGTCCTTACTCCCATCATTACTCACACCTTTAGAACATCTCCATTTGTTTTGGCAACGAGTCTAGTCATTTAAATATTGTCTTTTAGAATTCCCTCCTTTTATAAACGTTTTCTCTTCTCCCTTCCTTCATTTTGCCTTCTCAGCTTCAAGCTTCTTTATCTTTCTTTATCTTGCTTTTCCACCTCTCTCTCTTTCTGCACCTTCTCCATCTTATCAATGGCTCCTCTTATGTCTTTAGAGATTCCAGCCTTTAAAACTAAATATAACATTCCAGAGGACGTTGATATTCGAATGGCTGGTACAGATGAACCTCTCATCAGAACCAGAGAGAGTATCCCAATCTACACTCGTGCGATCACAGAGGGCGGTGTTCGCTTCCCACTCGATCCCCTAGTCCTTTGGGTTTTATCAGCTATGAAGTTGTGCCCCATCCAATGCTGCCCAAATTTCTTCAAAATAGTGATGGGTGTGGTTGCTTTAAACAAACTTTTGAACTTGAGCTTAGGACTATGGGAGATCCTGTATTGTTACATCCTCAAACCGGATGGAGATAACTACTAGCTTTCAGTGAGGAAGAAGGACTGCTACTTGGTGTCTCATCTCCCAGATTCTAACAAAGGCCATGAGAACGACATTGTCTTTGTTTATGGAAATTAGGAGTACGTTGCTGGTGTTGTTCCATCCTACCGCTACCCTTATGAAGAAGGCGCACCAGGTATCTGTATTTTTTACTCTTCCAAATCAATTTTTTTTTTGACATAAGCTTTCTTTTGTATGAAGGCGAGACTGTGAAGGGCAAAATTACTGAGTCATCCGTCAAAATGGATGAACTTAGAAAAGTGTGTTACTACAATGATTCTTTGTTCTGCCGAGCTGCTCACACCCTACTCGGGTACACGCCAACCTATACGTCATTCATAGCCGTGCCAAACCGTCCCAATGCTATACTTGCTGAGGATCGAGAGGCCATCCAGACTGTTCGGTAATAGACACCTCCATCTCACAAGAGGTCTGCACTTGCCAGGTTTGAACGGAGGACTGTGAAGAGTTTTCTAGATTTTTTATCCATTGTCGAACCGACCCCAAACACCGAACCGACTCTACCAATAACTTATGTGTCTTTCATCCCTGTTCATGAGGAGAAGCCTATAACCGAGGTTCCGATCGAGACTGTTCTTCCTGAGCCAGATGATGCAATTCCGTCAGTTAGTAATTCTGCAGACTTGGCTCGAGCCACTGAAACTTCAATTCCTGTCGAATTAGACCCTGTTGTTTCTATTGATTCTCTTGATTATCAAGACAATTCAATCTTTGAACTTGATGAAGACCCCACCCCAAAAAGGTGAAGAATTGTCGAGTCCAAGGCATGTCTTTCTCCTAAGCTGGTCAATCCTCCTTTCCATCCTGTTCTTAAGGCGAAAAGGAGAGAAATTACTGTGAAGGATTCTACAACCAAGGATTTTAATGTTGCCGTGGGGATCGCTAGAGGGGTCATCCTTCCTCGGGACCTTGCTATGAATGAGGCTTTGACAGATAATGAAGTGTCTCATCAAGCTATTCAGCACATAATTCTGGTAAGACTTGTTCCTTTTTTACCAACTTGTTCCTTTAGGTCTTCCCTTCTTTCTTATAAATCTTGTCTAAATCTTTTTCCTCTTTCCAATTTTAAGGGTTTGCAAAAAGTTCATGAAATGGGGGCTAGGATAGCCTGAAAAGACAAAGCAATGAAGGATGTTATTATGCACAAGTTTCAGCTTTGGCTAAGAAGGAATCGGCGGATGAAGAATACACCAAAATCTGCGAAGAAGTTAAGGTTCTCTAGGCTCAAAACCAAAGTCTGACTGAAGAGAACAAAAAGCTTCTAGTGGAGATTGGGAAGTTAAAAGATTCTGAACATGAGGCCATTGTGGAGCTTTCTCAATCTCAGCTGGATTACATAAGCCTTCTAGAAGAGTTTAATCAATATAAAGTTGAAGCAAAGGAGAGAGAAGATTTTGTATATCATGAGAGGATCGAGAAGGCAGAGAACGATCTAGCCTTACAGATTTCCCAACTACGGGATGCGTACTTCAGCAAGGGCTAGCGCGCCGCTTTGGCTGCTACTGGAGTTCCATCTTCCTCCGAACTCTTCTCTAGGCACTCACTTCCGAGCTCTTCCCAGCCTCCAGCTTCCTGAAACACTTAGAGGATTTTTTTTTTTTTTTTTATTTTGAAACTTCTGATGTACATGTTCAAAGATATTTGTGTTCTCTTTTTGAACGAAAATTACTTCTTAACATTTATGTTCCTATAATTTACTTTGGTTGTTTTAGGAAAAAATTGGACTTTTGAAGTCTAAGGCCTTTGTTCGGCTTTTCTTCCAGGTTTCGGTCCCTCAACAGAAATCTTTAAATATTTAAAACAATAGAATTTTCTGAAGTTTTGGCCCTTGTTCGGCCTTTCTTCAAAGAATTCGGTCTTTTAATAGAGACCTAATATACTTAGAAAAATTCTTACTCTTGGAGTTATGGCGCCCTTGCTCGGCCTGTCTGTAGAGACCTAATGTACTTAGAAAAATTCTGACTCTTGAAGTTATGACCCTTGCTCGGCCCTTCTTCAAAGAGCTCGGTCACTAAGTAGAGGCCTAATATACTTAGAAAAATTCTTACTCTTGAAGTGCCCTTGCTCGGCCTTTCTTCAAATAGCTCAGTCTATGTGCAGAGAGTTAATGTACTTAGAAAAATTCTGGCTCTTGAAGTTATAGCCCTTGCTCGGCCTTTCTTCAAAGAGCTCAATTTACCAGTAAAGTTACTCGCAGACCCCTTGAGCATCTTAGAAACAGTTTCTACCCCGCACCAACCCTCCAATCTGATTGGACTCAAATTCATCCCTAATCAGCTTACATCGTCATGCCTAGCTGTGGGCCTGGGTTAGATTGGATGGTTGTGCCTAATTTAAGTTTTTATTTCTATCAGGATTTTTTGCCACACTGTCTTAATAGTAGGACATATATAACAAGAAAAGTAGAGCTAGAATAGGGAGATGAATCTTCAAAAATCTTTATTAATAACTCTAGTTCCTGTCAGTACATTTGCTAATCACTTATTAATTCTTGAGGGGCAACCTCAGGTTTCCGAAGTCACTTCGGAGTTCTATTTAAAAAGGTATTTTTTAGAAATAGAGCTTTCTTAAGTTAGCTAAGTTCCAGGGGTGTGGCACTTCTTTGTGGTTCAAGGTCTCAAGCTCATAATACCCACTGCCTCCTACTTGGATTACTCTGTATGGACCCTCCCAATTTACTCCAAGCTTTCCATGTGTTGGGTTCTTAGCCGATCCCAGTACACATCTGAGGACCAAGTCTCCTAGTGCAAAATATCACAAATTTACTTTCTTGTTATAAGTTCAGGACATTTTCTGCCGATAAGATGTCATCCTTATTGTTGCTTGTTCTCTTTCCTCCTCTACCAGATCAAGATCTCGGGTGATAACAGCATCGTTACTGTTGCTTTCAACTAGCTCAGTTTCTTAGGGTCGGTAAGCCGATCTCTAATGGAATTACCGCCTCCATCGCATAAGTTAGGGCGAATGGAGTTTCTCCAGTTAAGCGCCGAGGTGTGGTTTGGTACGTCCACAGAACACCTGGCAGCTCCTCCACCCATCTTCTTTTGGTGTCCTCTAACCTTTTTTTGATTCCATCCAAGATTGTTATATTGGAAATCTTTGTTTTTCCATTACTCTGAGGGTAAGCTGGGGTGGAATAGTGATTCCAAATTCCATAACGTTGACAGAAGCTTTGAAGGGGATACTATCGAACTGTGTGCCGTTATTAGAAATAAGTGCATGTGAAATTTCAAATTTGGTGATGATGTTCCTCCAAACAAACTTTCTTGTATCAGTGTCTCTGATATTAGTTAGGGGCTTGACTTCCACCTACTTTGTGAAATAATCAGTTGCAACGAGAAGGAACTTCTTATTGCGAAGGGCCCGAGGTAGAGGTCTCACAATTTCTAGCCCCCATTGTGCAAATGGTCACGAGCTCGCCAATGAAAGCAATTCTTAGGATGACTTTCTTGATATTAGTGAGAATTTTTGACACTTCTCACATCGTCTAACAACTGTTAGGCATCCTTCTGCATGTATGGCCACCAAAAACCCTAGGAGATGGCTCGGTGAGCCAGAGACCTTCCACCAGTATGAGCACCGCAGCTTCCTTCGTGAATTTTAGATAAAAAGTCGGGGATTATTTTTGGGTGTACACACTTCAAATACGACCCTCTAAATGAGCGTCAGTAAAACTCATCCTTCGGAGATAACCAGAATCTGGCCGCTTTCAGACGTAGCTTATGAGCTTCCTTCTTGTCCTCAAGCAAGTCACCATTCTTTAGGAAGGCAATGATTGGGTCCATCCAACTTAGCTCGGTTTCGTTACATAAAACTTTGTTAGAATTGGTAGGCAAAATGCTAGGGTCAGGTTGAAACTCAATGGTAAGAGCTCTTTTAGTTTCCCGATCAATAGCCGAAGCAAGCGAAGCTAAAGCATCGGCATGCGAATTTTTTGCTCTTCCAACCTGCTGGATCGAGTACTCTGGAATTTTGCCAAATTCCTTTTTCTGCTACGACATGATACGCCATCAATAAATTGCTTGTGTTGTGGATGCTTCTTGTTGCTTGATTTTGCGCACACACACACACACTCACAATTGGACTCACGAAGTTTGATCAAATGTCACATTGAATTATTTAACTTGAACATTCATCATATTGGGTTTTGTGAGAATTAGTTTTGTTGAAGGGATCATCATTGATGTGAATTGGGTTGTTGAACAATTAATTGACATATCATTGCATCCATTAACATGATGAGTTGTTCTTGATTGGTAAAAAGGGTTCACACACTTAATTGATTAATTGATTCTTTTGATGGATTAGGTTATAATTTCCAAATTGGTGGTTGTCTGAGTCTTAATTTTGATAAACCTATTCACCTCCTTTTGGAGGCATGCTAAAGCTTGATTAATGCAAGGTTGTTCATATTGTGGCAGGTGAATTACCTGATGGGATTGGTAATCTTAATCTGGAGCGTTTTGTCATCCGTGAGAACAGCTTCACTGGCCTTATTCCAACCAAAATATTCAATAGTTCAACTCTTAAATCGTTGGTGCTGAGTAACAATGACTTCTTTGGTTATCTTCCATTAACCATGGGGCTTTGGCTTCCAAATCTCAAAAGTCTTGTGCTCGATAACAACAAGCTGAAGGGAATAATCCCAAGCTCCATCTCCATTGCTTCTAAGCTTACCATCCTAAGTATGAATAGCGACTCACTCACAGGAGTTATTCCTGATCTTGGTAATTTAAGATTCTTGTCCTATCTTCTTTTGGGGAAAATAATCTAACAAGGGAATCCTCCACTATAGAATTGTGATTTTCTCTTCTTTAACAAATTGCAAAAACTTGATTATGTTGGAATTGTCACTCAATTAACTAAATGGCATCCTCCCTATGTCACTGGTGAATCTCTCTACTTCTCTTGTATTTTTGGGAGCATTTGGATGTAAAGTTAAAGGGGATATTCCGAGTGGAATTGGAAACTTGAGTAGCTTGGAGAGATTAAGCTTAGATAGCAATTAGTTGACAGGATTCATCCTGAGAGGACTTGGGAGATTGAAACATCTCACACGGTTATATCTTGAGCACAATAAACTACAAGGATTCATCCCCACAGATCTTTGCCAGGTGAAGAGCTTGGGACACATATATTTAAGTGACAATATGCTCTATGGACCCATACCAGCATGCTTGGGTGAACTTAAATCCTTGACAAGTGTCTTCCTAGATTCCAACAGTTTGAATTCCACAGTTCCCTTAAACTTGTGGAGCCTTACAGATCTACTTGTTCTAAATCTCTCTTCAAATTTTTTAAGTGGACTTGAGATAGATGTGAGTGAAAAGGGATAAAAACTAAGTGTAGAGCCCCCGTATATATAGCCAATGAAAGTTTACAATAAGGATAAAAAGGTAAAACAAAATAAACCCTAATAAATTAGGTTGCTATATTCCAACACTCCCCCTCAAGCTAGGTGCAAAAATGTCAACTAAGTCAATCTTGAGAACGGAGTCCCGAATAATGGATAGAATGACAAGTTTGGTGAAAGTATCCTCAATCTGATCTTTGGTCCCCACGAACGATGGAGTGACAATACCACTGCTAACCTTCTCTTGAATGAAGTGAACATCAATCTCTATGTACTTCGTCCTCTCGTATAATACAGAGTCAGAAGCGAGATGAATAACAGATCGATTATCACAATATAATGTAGATGAATAAGTCACTGAAATTTCCAACTCGCCAAGAATCGATCATAGCCAGATAATCTCACATGTGTCAAGTGTTAGTGCCCGATACTCTGCCTCTGCTGACGAGCGAGAGACAATTGACTACTTCTTGCTCTTCCAAGAGATAAGATGAGTCCCTTGAAAAGTACAAAAGCCTGTAGTAAATCGACAATCACACGTTCCCCCATAATCTGAATTTGAATAACAGGCTAGAGAATCAGTTTGGGATCCTAATGCATATAACAACCAAAGTCCAGGACAAGACTTGAAGTATCGAAGAATATGATAAATTACATCAAGATGAGGCTGACATGGTCTCTGCTTGAACTGACTAACTCGACTGAAAGCAAATGAAATGTTTAGCCTAGTGTTAGCTAGGTAGATAAATCTACCTACCAACTTCTGATAGACAGTCGGATCTCTCAACTTTTCACCTTCAGCACTAAGCCTCAAGTTTGGAATCATGGGTGCTGATGTCGGTTTGCACCCTAGTATCCCAGTGTCTGAGAGAAGATCCTGAACATACTTTCTCTAAAAAAAAAACAATACCCCTATTACTACGGGCAATCTCAATCCTAAGAAAGTATCACAGAAATTCAAGGTCCTTCACATCGAAGGTCTTCCCAAGGTCTACCTTGACCTACGCAGTCCCACAAACATCATCTCCAGTAATAATAATATCGTCAACATATACCAAAAGGATGATACACTGTCTAGAAATATTCCGTCGAATGAAGCAAGTATGATCAAAATAACATCTGGTGAACCCTAAACGTATAACTACATCACTAAAGCAATAGAACCAGGTTTGTGGTGACTGTTTCAATCCAAAAGGTTATTTTATTGTTGCCTTCATGTTTTAAATTTTAATCTATTGCCTTTTGAATGATGCATTAAGTGTATGAGAAATAATCCTATGTTTCTCAAGTTGTTAGAATCTAGGGATGAAATTGCCTTTTAAAAATTAATTAAGGTTAAAATAAAAAAACAAAAGTTTTTCTATAGATATTACAGTAGGATATATATGATATTTGGTAATTTGTTAAGGTAATTGTAGTGATCTAAAAAATTTTCACTTTTTATTCACATTTCAGAGTAGTATAGTATAGTATAGATAACATATAACAAAGTAAAGGGAAGACAAAATGGAAGACAATGAAGATGATCAAGGTAGATGTACTTTTTTAATCAGCAAAAAGATTTATTTATTATGGAAGACAATGAGTTATAAACATTTTAAAGGTAATTAATAAAATTAAATATAATTAGTTTCATACTAAAGGAAGAACAAAAAATATTGTGGATATGATTGACTTTATATCAATAGTTAAGGGTAAAAATGAAATATAAATATTTTTCAAGTATCCACACTTTTTTAAGTAGTATAGATATAGATATGATATGTTGAAATAGTGTTCAATAAAATGCATTAGAAACTTAACAACTCAAATTTCATTTCAAACTCAAGTTATTCAAACACAACAAATTTGTTAATAGTGATGTTCAACTAAATTGGATAATTTTTTTTTGGTTTTAAGTAAAATCTATTTCAAATTTGCGCCTTGAAAGATGGATAGTGACAATAAAATTTACTATTTTTGTCACTGTTACTATCACTGTCACTGTGATTGTGTAACTCTCTACTTCATGTTACTATCTATTTTCATGGAATTTTAATAGTGGTAATGAATAATGACAATAAAAATTCATATTACTATCTAGTTATGTAAAATTTGGACAATGACAATAAAAATTCACTATCGTTGTAATTTTTACCGTCTCAATATCATTATCCTATGTTATTGTTGCTGGATTAAATTTGACAAAATTTGTTCGATATTAAGCAAAACAGAGTAATACAACCTATTTCCTAACATATATAGTAAGATGATTCCTAATTGTTCAAGTAGATTAAACTTTTGAGATCTTGCTCCAGACCAAAGTTGACAATCATGCTCGTCCATTCCTGTTGCTCAGTTCTCCTTTGAAGAGGTCATACTGTCTTGTCCCTATGTGAGCATCCCTTATTTTAGTCCAGTGAGCCAATCGAGCAACGGTATCCAGTAGATTGATGATACCAATTCTGTTGGTTGTGCAATCCTAATCTTGTGTCATGTTTCAGTAATGGCAGAGGCGAGTCATGCCACGATAGCCCCTAGACCTTGTGGTGCCGTTTTGCCACTTCCATTGTAATGAGGATGTGTTTTGCCCTTCGTGGTGCTGGTTCTATCGCAACACTAGAGTGCCTGTTGCGGCACTAGAATGATATTGCGGTGCCGATGCTTGTTGCGACACTGGAATGTTGGCACTGTTGTTCGTATCAATCTTGTTGGACTCTATCGAGCCTCACTGTTATGTAAACTATCAATTCTTATCATTTGTCACCTTACATGTCCTAAATTTATTGGGTATTTCAGCCTTATAAGTAGTTCTTGTAACTTTGGGTAAAGCCTTGGACTGTGTTATCTTTGGACTAGCACTATATTGTTTGAAATTTTAGATGACCATTGGGTTGCCTTGTTTTTGACAGTTCCCAAGTCCATGACTAAGTTCCAAGTCGATAATATGAAACTAGTTTTGCCAATGGATTGAATTAGAATTTCAATCCAAATTGTCTTTTTTGCACATAATTTAATTTTTTGACCAATAGTTGAAATGGAAGCCATTCTATCTTATTTCCTAAATTCGAACATAGTAATGCTTAACCTGATTATCACTTGGTCATAATTATATATGTAGATAAAAATAAGATAAAATTTAGGGATTATATCCGGAATTGTGTTAAAATTCAAAAGCTATACACTCACATTCATGGCCACTATAAGCAACTTATGCAATCATGTGGGGCCTCCACTTATCTAGTGTCCGACTTCCCAAACTATACAAGCTTCTTCCAAAGCATACGATTTTCTGGATGTAGATGATGATATCTATATTTTACATCCAACAAGATTTTATAGTCGAATAAAAATTTAAAAATTATATCACCACTAAAAAGTAGTTAAAATATAAAAAATTTGATAGAGTATGTATTGAAAAAGTGAGTAGCTAAACAAAAAATGTGCACTTTTGGATAGTTAAAATATAAAACTTTGTTGGAGATGCTCTTAGTAGCTATAGGTTAAAAAACCTCAGGTAAATTACACTTGCACTTGTTGAACTATCAGATTTTTTTTATTTTGCCCTCTCAATTATTAAATTTTTAAAGTTGCACACTAAACTAACCATTTTATTTCACATTATTCCAATCACAAACGTATGTTATCTTTTTGGGCGGAAATCGCTTACGTGTTGGAGTAAGGTGAAAAAAATTATCTAGTTTGGAGGGCAAAATAAAATAACTTTTTGTTAAATATGTAACGGATGTTAATAATTGTGGCAATGCGAGACTAATCACATAGTTGATGGTACAATATAAGAAATTTGATAATTGAGGGGATAAAGTAGAACAAGGGTGTTAGTTGAAGAGGTGTAAGTGTAATTTACCCAAATGCCTCCAAAGTTAGAACTCACGTAGGACCCATTTCGACTTCATTGTCAAACTCCATTGTCTTACACTGACCAAAAAATGTTGGAAATCTCGCATTAGAATACCCGCAAAGCAACACAAACGTCACTCCTTGAAAACACCATCAACTAAGAAAGCATCGTTAGGACCGGTCATGCCACTTGAGACAAGAAGTTATCAATTCATAAACAAGGTGCCAAATTGCTTCTTTTGTCACAAAATCATTAGGGTACCCAAAAAGCATAATGTTTTGCTTATCTTTTTCAATGTTTATATTATATTCCTCCCGATACACTTTAGGTATACCTATTTTTGCACATAAAAACAGAGAGAGAGAGAGAGAGAGAGAGAGAGAGAGAGAGAGAGAGAGAGAGAGAGACAGAGCACATTACTCCTATCTCTCTCATCTCTTGCATTACTGTCAATGCGTAAATCATTGCTCTTCCTAGAAAAGTGATGTATGATAGATTTATTGTATTTTGTTTATTATCTTATTTTATTTTGAATCATAAATAAAACGGGCTTGTGTGGTCTATTTATGAACCAAAAGTAATATTCACCATTTAATGTTAGTTATTTTCACCTTAAATTAAACACTTATTAGCATCTACCATGTGTCGTGGATAACAATATCGGAGCAATTTTAAATGTTAGATTAAAGATGAAAAGGAAAAAATTAATCGCAAAATGTATTACTGTAGTTGATGTTTCAAAAGGGACCAGAAAAAAGACATTTCCAAGAAGAAAATCAACTTTGAAACAAAAATTATCGAGCGTTCACTTGTTAGTTTTGTATGTATGAACAAACTTCAAGGGAAAATCTAATGGTTATCAAAGAGGGAATCTAATAAAAGCCTCTTGAGAGAATAAGTACACCTAAATAATGTACAATGCAGAGAGATGAACCCATGAAGATGTAGCACATATCAAGTATAAATGTGAGGTGAAAGTACTATTCAATTATAATATCAATTCCAAATGATAAACTTTAAAAGTTATGGGGTTGGGATATTTCAAGGACTTCAACCAAAAACTCCAACATTAATGTTGTTTCTATTTGTGGCTTTTTCCATAACCTCTTCGTCTTTATTGTGTTAATGTGAGAAGATAGCACCAAGTGAATGGTGTATACCTTGGAAAAGAAAACAAATATTGGCTTTGGAGGTTCTTGGAAGGCTTCATTGCAATGCCCACTATCACCCACTAAGCAACAAACAATGTTGTTTTATTGTGCTAACAGATGCTTGGATTTTCATAGTGATGAAGAATAATACCAAGCTTGGCCAGCATTGATTCCTTCCATCATGTATAATTACAAATATATTTTTAGAGGGGAGAGAGAGGGGGGCTCTGGATTTCACAAATTCCCTATTCCTCTGAGGACAACAAATCAATGAGGACAAAAACAATCACGTCATATGTCAGGGGCATTTGATCAAACAGCTTGTAGGCTCACTGCCATGTGATGTTTCTTTCAATAAGCAACAACGCCACAATTATTAATAAGCAATTGACACAACCACAATTTCTTTGAGAAGTCACCAATAGAGCATGCAATCACTTAATAGTGAAACTCAGCTGAAATCAAAAGAAAAGACAGATCACTTAAGGTTACGCTATAAAAGAAAGAGAAGCCACCGAAAAAAGCTCATCAAAACATGTGAATGGAACTTGCTATACAAAAATGCAATACCCAAAATAAAAATAAAAAAATTAAAGAAAGGACATAATGTAATCGTACTATCAGAGAAGAGTTCTTAAAAAATGCAATACCCAGTACAACGATTCATAGCTGCTCCAAAGAAACTCTCAACGACCCACAAAGAAGAGAGAAGGGCGCTGTTCGGGTTTGGCGCTTGAGGGGAGGGGAGGGGATGGGAGGAGGGTGTTTGCGCAGGGAGCCGCCGCCTGTCGGCATGAGTTTAGGAAAGAGACTGAGAGAGAGAGAGAGAGGACAGGGAGCCGCCGCTGTCGGCATGAATTTGGGGAAGAGACTGAAAGAGAAGAGACTGGGAGAGAGAGACTATGAAAGTGGTAAATTTTTTTTTTACTCTGGCTTCGGTCCACCGTAGCCCAATAATGGCTCTGTCCTAATGGCTCCGTCCCTGTGTGTAATGTTTTCTATTACCCAATTAACCTCATTTTCATGCTGGAAAATATCGAAAAGAGATTAAAAAATTTTGCGTCGTAAATTTCCTTCATACAGTATTTACATAACCTATAAGTGCTACTATACCATGTGGCAGTTCAGCTTAGTTAAGGGGATGTGTTCTATGTGTCTCTTGTTTAGTTGCTTAGAGAATGTAGGAAATAGGAAAGAGACAGAGACTTCCAAACACCCAAAACCTTTGAATTTAAATAATAGCTATGCCTATGCCACTATTTGGCTGTACTGGTTTGTTTCTCGTTGTAGCTCCAAATATAGAAGAAGAGGACGTTTTGCATCATACCACTCTTGTTTTGGGGACTTCCTATATTACAACCTTGTCACTCAACATTTTCACATAGTCGAGGTGAGCTCAGTATGTTTTTTCTTTAATGCACTTCAAAGTACTATGCCATTATAGGATTCAACTTATTATTTCAGGCCTCGTATTTGGCACTTGTTCTCCAATTGTACTGTTAATGGCTGGAATGGTTCAAGAAGAGGGCTTGTCATCTGTGAGTTCATCGCCCCTTCAAGTCTTATCCATGATGTCTCTATCACCTGGTTTAGGATCTCCACATCCATGGATCAAGGAGATGAAATCCGAGCAGCGAGGTTTCTGCCTAATTAATCTTCTTGCGGCCTGTGCTGACCATGTTGCTAACGGTAATGTTGAGAATGCCAATATATGCCTTGAGCATATTTCCCATCTTGTCTCTCCCGACGGTGATTCCATGCAGAGAATTGCTGCGTACTTCACTGAGGCACTTGCTGACCGGATGCTTAAAGGCTGGCCCGGTTTGCATAGGGCCCTGAATTCCACCAAAGGGTCATCTGTTTCCGACGAAATTATGGTTCAGAAAATTTTCTTTAAACTCTTTCCCTTCTTAAAGCTAGCGTATGTGATCACGAACCTGGCTATTTTAGAAGCTATGGAAGGGGAGAAGGTGGTTCATATTGTTGATCTCAATTCTTTTGAGCCTGCCCAGTGGATTGATCTTCTTCAGTCATTAAGTGCCCGGCCTGAAGGCCCACCTCATTTAAAAATTACTGGTATTCATGAACATAAAGAAGTATTGGAGCAAATGAATCATCAATTAAGTGAAGAAGCTGCCAAATTGGGCATCGGATTTCAATTTAATCCTATAGTTACCAGACTAGAGAATCTTGACTTTGAAAGTTTGGGTGTTAAGAAAGGAGAAGCTCTGGCAATCAGCTCTGTACTTGAATTACATTCTCTCTTGGCGTTTGATGATGAGATGCTCCGTGGGTACTCCCCCTCAGCATCCAAGATTTCAAATTCAGTTCACTTTCACAGAATTCTGCAAATGAATCCACGTACTTTAGGAGATTTTCTTCAGAAAGACGTGTCTAATACATATAGCCCAAGTCCTGATTCAACATCATCCTCCCCGCTATCTTTGGCTGCTTCACCAAGGATGAAGTCACCAAAGATGACAAGTTTTCTAAATGCCCTTTGGGGTCTTTCGCCAAAGCTAATGGTGGTAACTGAGCAAGAATCAAACCATAATGGGATTAGTGTGATGGAGAGAATTAGTAAAGCATTGAAATTTTATGCTGCACTGTTTGATTGCTTGGAGTCTACTTTACCAAGGGCATCAATCGAACGCCAAAAAATTGAGAAGATGCTTTTTGGAGAGGAAATAAAGAATATCGTCGCATGTGAGGGACCTGAAAGAACGGAGAGGCATGAGAAGCTTGAGAAGTGGATTCCGAGGTTTGAGTTGGCTGGATTCGGGAGGATTCCTTTTAGCTACCATTGTCTGTTACAGGCGACGAGGTTGTTGCAGAGCCATGGCTATGATGGATATAAGATCAAAGAAGAGAGCGGTTGTTTAGTCATTTGCTGGCATGATCAACCCCTTTTTTCGGTTTCAGCCTGGAGGTTTAGAAGATATAATTGACGCTATTATCAAGCTGAGATTTGCAGTCTCTACATGCGTCTTCTTTATCTGTATAAAGATTATAAGTCCCAACACAAAGTGTTCTGTGGTAAGCATTAAAGAACTTCACAATCTGTTCTACATGTTTAATTTTTCCAAGAGCTCCTCTCTCTCTCTGTGAATGTTGAACACCTATTGTTAGTTGTGCTATACTTTTGCTGCCTATGTTTCTTTGAAATTGTGTACATTTCCTTGTAGGTTTTTTTTTTTAAGCTTTATGGATTATATTTAGCAGCCAAAGAATTACTTGAATTCAACCATTGTGATATTGTTTAGCACATCAAAGCTGCTTCTTTCTAGTAGACTTCTCAACCTACTCGAAGAGCAGATGCTTTCGATTCTTTTGTAATTTGATTAAATGGGGGTGTATTCCTGCAGTGGCGTGTCTACTCTGAAAAAAATAGGTTGTTTTATTCAAAATTTATGAAACCAACATGAAAAAAATAACATGTTTGTTTACCCAGAAATTATTTACTGTCAGCTATTTTAATGGTCCATATGCACCTAAGTTTTCTGTTGTGCAGTTAAAATGGTCTGAATCTAGTCGTGATGTCTGATAAATTTGGATAGATAAGTTATTTGAATTGAGAAGCCAAGCACGAGAAGTCAGAAGAATTGTCATGGGAGAGAATGGGTAGCATTAACTAGATTTCAATGACAAAGTTAGGGATCAGTTGGTTCCTAAGTCACGAATCTCTGGAATGGGCTCAGAGTCGTGACTAGTTTCAAACATCTTGTTTAATCTCGATTCATTAATTTTTTTCTTCAAGCTCAACCTCTCATGATTTAATGAATTGAGTTTGATCTTATATTCGAGCATAAACTAGTATTTAGGCGTGTATTCAAGATTAAACTTAGCTCAGAGTTCGAGCTTTGTTCACTCCATAAATGAATGAACTTTTATTCGACCATGTCTTGAGCTTTATCAATAGTTCGGTTCATTTGTAACCTTACTGAAATTGATGCCCTACCACAATTCTGCTAGAGACATGAGAGGAAAAGTTGCCATGAGACATATTAGCATGCAACTCAGAATGCATAGCTAGTCTTTAAAATGTTTTCACTCAAAACATACTAGAATGCCTTAAGCAAGCACTACAAACACATTGTATTCCACTACAGCATCTCCAGTTTTCTGTTCAATTCTCACCGTCTTCGCCAATGCGTAACCTCGAGCCAGTCGGAAAAGCCCACTGCCACCAACAATGGGCATCTCCCTCACCATATCAAACACTCGATTGCGCCCGAAAATGCTAAGTGCACTCCCATTAAACTTACCTTCCAGAAAAGCAAAATTCATAACCATAAGCAGAGCTGTATCATGTTGGGAAGCCAAGGCATACATTCCCTGAGCTCTTCCCACAAGTTTGGAACCAGGCTTGAGCCCTTCAGTTAAAGGATCATCAATCATCGCGGTGGCACCAAAAGCGTTTTTAGGCCCGGAAATTCTCACAGCAGTTGGATGTTTTCCACTGACTATGTCATGGAAGTAGAAATGGAGATGGATCATGTTGTTGACATGAGACTTGGCCTTGGTTTCGGCGAATTGTTCCGAAAATTTTCCATTAATTGGAATGAAGGTGGTTGAGATGACCATGAGGAGGGTTAAGAGGAGGAGAGTGTATGTCATAGAGGAGGCCATTTGGGGCTGGCTTTGGCTGTGGTGGTAATTGGTGTGTCTATCTATAGAGGCTGAGAGGAGAAGCTATGATGGTACTCTCTAATGCAATTTCCCTTTTGCAGGGGCTATGTGTCCTGTACTTCTGTGAAGAAATTATTTCCTATGCTTGTTTCCCACTAAAAAAAATTGAGGGCTTTTCATTGTTTGTGGAAACCATTAACTCTGCAGCAAAGATGGGTTTCAAAACTGCAGTGTGGGGGCAAAGGCATGATTTTTCATTCAATCTTGCTCAAGTTTAGAGATATGAAAAATAGGGCAAATTAGATTTAATCAGTTGATAATGTCAACTGAATAGTCACAAGTCACAACACTCCTCTCAATGTTGGTTTTAAACACTACTTAGATCAATTTGTGATAGAGGAGAAAGCACATAAAGAGAGACACAACACCATCAAAGTAGTTTGTTGTTTGGCTTTGGTAATACTGTGTTGACGGACTGCCTGTTCAAATTAGTAGTTATGGTTCAAACCGAACATTCTACAATAAGAGATACTCTCTATTAGTCGACCCTCACTCCCCTTTTCAAACCGGAAAAAAAAAAAAAATGACCAACTCGATTCCACTGATCTTCCATTTAAAAGTGTCATCAACGACCTTAGGGTCCCTACATATGGCAAAGTCTTCCAAACTTTGATTTTGATCTCAATTAGTCACACGTGATGTACATTAAAGTTGCCTTAAAAAATGAAGGTGGGCATCACACTAACTAGATCATCCCACTTCCTAAGCCCACGTTGATTGATTTAAAGGATAAATTACACTTTTGATGATGACATCATCACACTCTAGTTGGGTTCGTCACCGACTCTCTCAACTACGGGAATTGATTTCACATTATCCTAAATTCAAATACTTGTTATGTTTTGGACAAAAAATTTTTATGTCTTAACTGATTTTAGGGCAAAATAAAGTAAAATTGCAGAGGCTGATAAGCAAAATGACACAAATTTTCATCCAATTTCTTCTGTACGCCTGGAATTGTAACCATGTGAAACTAATACCCATAATTGGAGATACAATATGAGGCAGATGACAATTAAAGGGGTTGTGTGATACATTAGTACGATTGAGGAGGTCAAAATGTAATTCGTCCAAACTTTAGATAGGAGGATATGATGACTTGATGAACCTTTCTTCTGGAGTATATAAGTAGCAATGATTCAAAGGCACAGGTGATAATGGAATGGAGATATTTAGAGCATGCTTTGCTTCTAGCACAAACAAGACTTCATAGCTTCATCTTTGTATGCATGAGTAATGGTTAGACATTTCAAATTGTATTTGAAATGAGTGTAGACCCTCGAATTAATGAGTTTTGTTATCTTTTTTTTTTTTTTTATCGAGACTCATTAATCAATGGTCCACACTCATTTAGAATACAATTTAGTTGTATGCTGGAATCAAATTTATCACACGTGTCATTGGATTGTGAAGTGCTCCTTAACAATACACCCTAAGGAACTAAAGTTTCAAAATCAAACACATGTACAGGACTCGACAATGTCATGGGTCCAGATTCTCTCACAATGAATTTTTCTTTCTCAAAACAATCTTCCATTGTGTATTAATTGGAAACCCATTTATTTACAGTGGATCTTTACGTGCACATTTTTTAGGAAAATATAAACAATTTGAAAAATAAAATTTGGTAAAGGAAACCCGCTTCCAAGGGAGATGCAAACCTTCATTAGTTCACATCAGGAGAACCGAACCTCCCAAATCTACTACAAAAAAGTTTAAGACTCCAACATGATTTTACATTGATTACAAGTCTTTAAATACAACATAAAATAACTATAAAACTAGCTCATAAGACACATGATCACTTCATGGGAAAAGTTTGATAATTGTACAAAGAATAGTAGATTTCAAACATTTTCTTTAGAAAAAAAGGCTCTAGTATGCACAGTGGCCTAGCACACGGACGTGGGAGCAATGGGGTGCTTTAGTGGCGCTAGTTGCGTGTGGCTACTGGGAGCGATGGTGCCTACATGGCGCATTCGGGCACATACGCGTGGTGACTAAAATTAGAATTTGGCATCCTTTGGCACACCAGTAAATCTTAGTGACAGTTTTTCCATGCTTCAACAAAGCGAGATCCTCTTCAATACACCCATTTTTTAAAAAAAAAATTTATGGCACATCATTTATCTATCATATATTCAAGTGAGATCGATTATATGCAAGTGGTCCCTCACTCATCAATAGTGAATCTCTCACTCATTAATTGTAGATGATGTATCAAGAAGAAAATTGAATGAAAAGTGTATTGGTGAGGATCTAGATCTAACATCAACGCCCACTAAAATTTTTCAGGTTCTCATCATGTTTTCCTTCTCTGTGCAATTATATCTTCTTGATCATCTCCGACAATATCTACGATTTATTCATCGAAGCTTTCCTATATAAAAGAGGTTGATTTTGCATAATCAAGGTACACGAGCCTCAAATACAATGTGCATTATCATTCCATAAAGCCAAAGCTTCATAGATTACATATCAGTCCTTCTCTCTGTCTGCTTTGTATGTACTCGTCTGAATTTTTGTCTCAAACCATCTGTTGTTGTAGAATATGGTACGGTAAAATAATTTCAAATAGTAAAAAAACAATAAATCAAAACCGAAGAAAATAGATCGTTAGGTAAGGCGTAGTATTCGTTATCTTCGACGTAATAATTTCTCCACTTTTAATGCAAATAGACTCATGGAAATTTTATTCCCATAATACAATGCCTAATTTTAAGATTATCAAAGACTGAACTCCTTAGTAATTTTGAAATCAAATACTCAATCCGAATATAGAAAATCAGAGAATATAGAAGTTTTAAATCAAGGAGAAGTAGAAGAATCAATTTGCTGATACTTTGTTCTTGCACTTGAACCCTATTTATAGGATTCTATGCATCTATAAATGAAAGAGTGTAAATCTTCATAACCATGAGAGAAGACATCCCTCGAAATGGCTGCCCAGGTTCGAATGGACTCAATTCTCACTATTTCGATTCTAAGACATTTTGAGATTTTTAACGAAGTATTGAGAGCAAGTCACATTCGAACATGTCAAAATCTCAATATCTCAGTTTCTGTCAAAATTCGAAATTCTAAAAAGGTAATCGGAGCAAGGTTCGTTCAAACATGATTTGCGTTCGAACGTCACCTCCTCCTTCCTTTTATTTATTCTTCTTTCTTTTTCTTCTTTATATATATAAATTATAATTTGAAATTCTCATTATATAGGTCTTCTCCTCATAAAGAGGATTTCTCGAGATCTTGAGTAGAGAACAGAGTTCTTTCTCTATTTATAGCAAAAGATGAATCGATGAAGAACCCCCAAAAACCAATGTGAGATTCTTGTATTTGTCCTCCAACTCACATTCTTCAAATGTTTTGAATGGAAGTGAAAATTCAATTTTCCACCAATTTCAATTTACAAGAATATGTGTTTAATGTTTATGTTAATACATGCAAATGAAATAATACTAATTAATATATCACTATTAGTAAAAACTGTATATATATATATATATATATATATATATATATATATATATATTTACCTGTGTATATACCACCATCTTCAGTCTGCTTTGGAAAACCAATCTAAATGAACTTGGGAACTGCAAGACTGTTAATGTCACACAAAAAAACTTGAGTTTAATGGCAGAGTTGGTCCTGCCAACCGTATTTGGACACTAGGTCTCATTTATGGAGTCAGTTGTGAAGATGGAAACTAAATGTCCTTTGGTCAATCCACAAGCTTTGGTTGGTCGTTACTAGTTACAGGATTCTGTCGTGGCACCGGGAGGCAGAGCAAAAGTGAGATCTACCATCTCAGCAGCAGCACCGTTACCGCCGAGAGCACCTTCTCTACAGACCAGTCAAAGCCTTCTATCAATGTGACCATTGCTGGTAAGAAACTGATTTTAAGAAAACTGATTCTCTATTCATTATATAATTAGGATGAATTATTAATGAATAGAGAAGTTCCAGTCCTAATATACTTCTTGCTTTATCTCATCCTTGATTGTTCCTCTGTTTTCAGTAATTTTTTATCCTAGTGATGCTAAGATGATGTTAGTCAACTGACGTTTTTCCACATGATTTGGTAAAATCCTCTTTCGAGTTGTACCTTATACTTTAGATTTTAAAAGATTATAACTTTTGATACAGTAACAAAATCGGTACCATAATATTCCTCCTTTTTGAGTTGTGGTAGCATACAGTACTTGATAAACACCACCAAGCTTTAAAACATGTCATGGATTTTACTTTAAGGGCCTATTTTGGATTTTTTGGGTAAAATAGTTTTTTAATTTACAAATCCAACATTTCACTTTTGAAACACCCCCCCCCCCCCAATTGTGGGTTTAATCAACTATTCACCATGGCTCAAGATTTATTTGCCTCGTGAATCTGAGCCTTAAATCTTGAACCAAATACGGGTTTAAAAGGCGTATTGGACTATTTTCACAAAATCCATCCTTTAAATCACATTCACACGTGTTAAGTGTAAGTAAATTATATTTTGACTCCTTTAACTATGACCCTTTTTCACATTATTCCCTCAACTATCATATTTTTTATATTGTACTCTCAACTATGTGATTAGTTTCACATTGACTTAACTATTGACATCCATCACATATTTAACGAAAAATTATTTTATTTTTCCTCCAAACTATGTACTATTTTTCACTTTAATTTGCCTCTACACATCAATAATTATTGTCCAAAAAATAGCAGATATTTTTGATTGGGCCAATGTGAAATAATTCGAGTAGTTGAGAGGACAATTTTATAATTTAATAGTTCAAATAATAAAATGAAATCTAATCCATAGTCTAGGGGGATCAAAATATAATTTACCCAAATTATAATTTATACATACTTATAGTGAATATACGATGCATATCATCAATTATATTTGATAAGTGTCGTATCTGATACAAATACTTTGAATTAAATGA